CCAAAGGACTATTGAACTATCATCTTCTCTGTTCTTTTAGTCAGCACACGTCCCTGCTCACTCATGTTCTAAAACCCCAAAAGCTGGAGGAAGTAACAGGGTGTGGTGCTTGCCTTGCACAAGACAGACGTCAGCAGAGGCAGCAACATCTTCCACAGAGAGTGACACTAGTGATCACTGACTCAAGAATACAGGATGTTGGGACACGGAAGTGGACATGCAGATTTACCCGATGAAATGTGGCCTCACTGACCATTGACGCCAGCTGTGAAGCACGCAGCAGAAAGGGTAATGCCTAACCACTGTGCCCAGCGAAAGAAGCCGTGGCCAATGTACTTAACAGGATTCCGTTAGCACAAAGTGCTAGAACAAGCAAAGGTCTGCAATGGTGGTTGTCTCTTGCAAGGGGATTAATTAATTAAGACAAGGCCTCTGAGAAGGGCCCTGCCTTTACAGCAATCCCCTATCTTCATAACAGTTTAGGTCGGTGACAGTGAACCTATGGCACACGTGCCACAGCTCGGTTGTTTGTTATCACTGGAAACTGAAAGGTTCGCCGTCACTGGCTTAGGTTATACAGGTGTGTGCGCTGCGGTGCATCCATAAGATCGGTGCACTTCATTCTATGCAGATTTCATCCCAAGTGGAATAAAAATAGAAGTGAACTTTAATGAATTATCTGTAGGCTGGAGTATTTGGGGGACAGCGTGCTGGGGTCTGCAATGCCTTTCAAATGCACAGATGAGACAGTTAATGGGAGACAGACAGATGGACAGACAGATGGGGGAGCAGGTGTAGGGAAACATTGGCGGTGGAATCCAGTGGTGGGGAGGGACACCTCTGCGAAGTCCTTGGCCCGGCTGAATTCCCTAATTTTGTGTGGGGTGGTGAGGCCCTCTGATGTCCCCCGTTTGTAGGAGTAGCACAGGCCTGGTGCTGCCCCTGGGAGGCCTTGGTTCCTACTCACCAGGGGTCCCTGTGATATATTTTAATCCCTACATCACATGTCCTAGGCAATTCTGATTTTGGAGTGGGTCTGGAAGATCTATGTGTCAAATCTCCCCCAGGTAATTATGGGCCACGTGAACCACTGCTCTGGACCTCACCACAGGAGTGGAATTCACCCTCTGGCCAGCAAATGGGTCTAAGACACGGAGCACTCATTGCAGCAGCTTCTGTAGGTGTCCTCTGGCTTCCCTGCCTGGTGGCAGCCATACTCTCCCCTCTGCGGGAGACTGAGGCAGAGAGCTGACTGCACTGTCCCGCCTCGGTTAGGGGAAGTCCCTTGCAGAGCACACAGCAGGCTGAGCTTTGGGAAGGGACGCAGAGGAAGGCTCCTGGCTCCTTTTGGGAAGGGACTCAGCAGAAGAGGGCTCCTGGCTCCCTTTAGGGTTCTAAAGCTCCCTTCTGCTCCTGATGCTCGCTCACAGGGAGGTAAGTTCTTCATGCAAGCAGCTTCCCCTTTGTGTTCCATTTGCCCTTCCTGTGCTCTCTCTGTACCTCTCCTGCGGCCTCCTCCACACTTAAAATGCAGACACAAGGACATGAGGATGGTTGCATCCCACTCCTTCCCACTGTAGCCCTGTAACTCCTCGAATCGTACCCAGGCACAGGCACAGGAACACACGAACTGACCTCAAGGGGGACAAGTTGAGGTGGAGGTGAGAGGTAGCTGGGGTCGATTTTCTAAGTCATTTGAAGACTGAGTTAAAGTTTTATTCTTTTTTTTTTTGTACTGGAGATGGAACTCATGACTGCACCTTGCAAGGCACGTGCTTATGCCACTAAGCTAAATCCCCAGCCCTGAGTCAAAGTTTTAATAGTGTCCCATGCCAGAGGGTCCTGCTACAAGCTGACTCTTCACCAACAGTAGCTATTTTTTGCGAATGTCACATAGTTCCACAAGGTGCCACAACTCGGAATTACTCTGTAGTGGCATTCATGGCTGATCATCCTGTGAAATCAGCACCCTTGGGGCTGGGGATTTAGCTCAGCGGCATAAGGGCCTGCCTTGCAAGCAGGCAGTCGTGAGTTCGATCCCTGGTACCAACAAAATAAAAAGAAAAAGACAAAAAAAAAAAAAAAATCAGCACCCTTCCTCAGCAGGCCTGCTTTGTGTTAACAGTAGGAAAGACATTGTTCTGAGCTAACTTTTCTGCATGGAGGAAATCCAACACAGACTTTCATGGGACCCAACTGCATGGGTGTTAACTGGGGCCGGCTGGTGCAGCAGCGCTCCCCAGACTACTGGTGCAGTGTGTGACAATGCTTGGCTCTGTCTGGGACAAAGTGGTTCTGCACCATTGCACTGGTGTTGGAGCTGCTGGAGCTGAGTACACATGCAGGGCTGTGGCCTGGCTCAGCCATGGCTGAACTGAGACTGAGGAGACACCTCAGGGGCAAGACAGGCCACAACTGAGGCCACCTGGAGCCTTTCGGGATAGTTTTCCTTAATTAGCAGCCTCTGATGCTCCCAGGGTCGTTGAACTCCGCCTAAGATCCTGCTCAGGTTTCCTGTGTTTTCCACTCAGCTCCTTGCTTGTTCTGATTAAATATGGGCTGCCCAGCATCAGCTGGCCAGTAGAGTTACAAACTCTGTGGAGGATTTCACTCCTCCTGGAGCTCTAAAGAGCATGCGGCCCGTCTCATTCCTTTGAGCCTTCACTGTGCACCTGTTTGGGGGGTTGGGGGTCTAGGTACAGACCTTAACAGTTTGGCGCCTGAATGTCTGCTGTGGAGGGTGACTTATCATTGCTGTGTTCCTGGGTGGGCACGGCTCACACACATCTACTTCATCTCACCTTATTTTCTTTGGAAAATCCCTTTACCAGGTAGGTCATGGGCAATTCCCTGTCTGAAGCACAGCAGACCCACAAAGCAGAACGCTTTACCGTCTTAGGCAGGTGGGCCATGTCACCTCTGAGGATAGTGGGGTGCAGCTCTTGTTAGAAGCTCGTGATCAGTGCCCTTGATATTCGGAGCGGGTGTGCTCATTCTGGAGGACTGGGACAAGACAGGCAAACTGCTGCGTGAGGAGCCTCAAGCTTCTGTCTCTGTCTTGCACACCTGCTATCTCTGCTGGATGCTGTGACAACATTTGGGAGGCGGGCAGGTGGCACATCACATGGTCAGCTTCCTGGTTTTCCTGGGGGTGCCACTTTCTGCTGCTTCTACAGCTCCCCCATATGCTTCTGCCCCCCCACTGCTGCTGCCACAAGATGAAGACCCTGTAAAACCTTTGGGCAACTTCCCACCATCTCTAACTCCCATGCAAAAGCTGGCCCAAGAAGCTAAACAACACGGGGAATTAATTACTTCTTGTTGTATATCAACAGGGACGAGAGCCCCGCTTTCTAAGTTTGAATGCTGATCATACTGGAATGTTATTCTTCAGTTGTGATCTCTCTTACCCATTCAACTAAATGTTTCTGAATCTGTAGTTCAGCTGATTGTCTTGCCTCATGTCTCCTCTAAAGCTTGTGATGCTACTGGAAATCAAGGATTTGACTCCACTATGGTAGCTACTGCTATTTCTCTGGGAGACAAACACCCAAGCCCCTCTTTAGCTAATGACATTTCCTTTTCAGGTTTTAGCTCCTCTGTCCAATGCGTTACAGGGTCACACAGATCCCGCTGACGGGATCTCTGACTCTCCTTCTCTACAGCAGGCCCTTCCGAGCACTGCTCACACACTCACCACAGTGATGGTGGACCGAGTCCAGGAGCACTGCCCTCTCTCTTGCTCATTTTCCATCAACCCCTTTGCCCACAGGGGCTCATGTTGCCATCCAGAACCGCAAGGTGTTTATTGTTGAATGGTTACATTTATCCCACTCTCCTGGGTACTTTAACCAGTTCTTGTTTGATGATTGGAGACCCCAGTAATCTCCAAGGCCTTGTAAGAGACACTGCAACTAAAAGTTATAAAATTATTGTTATATACTCATTGGTCATTATCTGATCCGGCCCGCGGATCAATCCATGGGTCTTGCCTGGAGAGAGAACGGGGATGGGGGGCAGGGCAAGAGGAAAGAGAAATGGAGACAAGATGAAAAGTTCCAATCAAGTCTCGTTTATTTAGGAAGTATACATGGCTTATATAAAGTCCAAAGAATGTGGCTTTATAGGATAGGTCATTTAGATCTCCTCATATGACGTGGACTTATCAGATTAGCAGGATACCATGCGTAGGCAACTAGTGGAAGCGGAAGTATGTAAGCAGGAGAGGATTATGGGTAATGTAGGTGGACGCGGCAGAGGCCCACAGGAGGGCGAGATAAGGTGGCAGCAGTGAGATATGCCGCTCCCTACATCTCCTCCCTTTTTATTTATAATATCAAGAGTATGGCAGGCCTTGTGAGGACAGCGCCTGTCTTGGGTCAATGGACTTTATTTGTGACCCCAGCCAGGCCTTTCCTGTCATGGGCCTGCAGGACAGCAGTTGGTCCTGTGTCTGTCTTAGGCGGCTTGGCGGTGTGACACAAATGTCCAAGTTGCCCGTCTCTGGCTGCCCATCCAGTGCCTCAAGGCATTAGGGCTACATCATTATGTGGACCAGCAGTGGATGTTTTTCCCCAATAAGTTTGTTGCTGTGCCATCTCTAATTGATGGTAATGTACCTGAATGGGCTTTGTCATAAACGCATCAATCCGGTTATTAAGGAGTGTCATGATTCTCTAGAAAATACAAGGGCCTACAGTAAGGAGTAGCAATAAAGCAGCCAGGGGTCCCAACAGGGGGGCAATGTAAGGGAGGAGATCCCCCCACATGGAAGAGAAGGTAGTTTCTCTGAGGTGCTCTTTTTTTTTCTTTGAGGTGTTCTCTTAGTTTAGTCATTGACTCTCTGACGACTCCTGAATGGTCGGCATAAAAACAGCATTCTTTTTTGAGGGCAGCACATAAGCCACCCTCCTTTATAAACAGGAGGTCGAGTCCTCTTTTATTTTGTCGGACTACCTCAGATAAAGATGTCAGAGATGCCTGTAAAGCCATTACAGATGTTTTTATTTTTTTTAAATCTTGATCTACTGTCGCCTGTAATTGAGCTAGATGTTGATTTCCCAACACTAGAGCTGTAGTCCCTGTTCCTATCCCCGTTGCAACTCCTAACCCTATTAATACAGCTAAGGTGAGCATGGCAGGTTCTCTTTTATGTATATAGCCAATCTGTGATGCCTGGAGGTAGTAGTCTCCTGGGTGGAATGTTATGCGAGGAAGAACCTGTACAAGAACACAAAAATCTGTAGACTTGTTAAAAACAGTAGTTGCTATACAGGGTGAGAGGCCAAAATTGCAGGCCCAAGACATTCCTGGGAGAGAGATGAGGTAATTGTTTGGTTGGAACTCTGAATGAAGCTGGGCACAGAGTCATGCTGTCAGTGCTGGTGGGTGGCTGAAGTCCCCAAGACAGGTCCCTCTACCAGAGACGTCAGGAAGAGTCAGCTTGTGGTGATTGTCCCAATCACAGGCAGATGAGCTAGAAGAACTGTTAAAGGTTAAATTGAGGGCCTTTTTTCATAATATGGGGGAGGAGCAGTCAAGCATAGCCAACAGGATTGGGTAAGATCAGGTTGGGTGTGATTTAAGGCAGTGTACGCCCTGTCAATCAAATTGAATAGGTTAGAATTTGGATACTGGGGGGTAGGTTTGTGATCCGATTGGTGTATGGGGGTTGGGGTGGATGGGAAGGCATGGGAAACACTCAGGGTTGGGTGACTTATGGTGGTTTTTTAGACAGCAGTAATGGGATTTGTATTGGACAGATTGTAGTTTGGCTTTAGAACAAGATTTGGGCCTATGGGCATGGATGAAATCTGTAGAGGAGCCTTTTTTATGAGAATAAGGCCACCCCTGTCTGAGCCAGATTCGTGATATGGCATTCCCCAGGTGCACCCTGTCAGCCAGCCAGTTTCATCAGGGGTGGTGATGGTTATATCTATTATATTGCAAATTTGGCCTATTCTGTTATCCCACCAGAAGGGAGAATGGGCGGAGCCCCACAGTGGGCAGCAGTCTGATGGCCCCCACTTTACTTTAAGATGTTTATCAGATATGTAGGGGTCTCATCCTGTGGCAGCTGTTTCATAGCCCCAGTAGGAACAATAATAATGTCCTGGGGAATTACAATATGGTCTGTCTCCTACTGCATTGGGACAAAAATATACCGGCAATGTATTTTGGCATGGATTAATGAGCACAAGGACACAGGACTGGACCTTAAAATTTGGACTTTTTGATCTTACCCAGGTTGTAACCTCCGTTTGATCGTCCCAATGAATGATTGACCACTTTTAAGGTTGGTGGGGATTATCAGTCATTGCGCACAGGTGTAGTTGTGTTAGAAGTCCGACAGTGATCTACACAGAAGCCAGCATTGCCTGTAAGAGAACACAAAGGGTTTGGGCCTCAGGAGATGGCATCACTCTTGGGCGTCATCTGGATTTTTAGATGAAGGGCTGTCTATTTTCTTTACAAGTCGCTCGGGTAGCTATTGGGCTCCCTTTTCCTGTTTGGAGTAAACACACACTGAGCCTTGGCCCCAGATGAGGACAGGGTCAGGGCCATTCCAGGTGTTGGTTATTGGGTCCCGCCATAACACAAAGGTAAATTGTGTTTGTGTCTGCGTGTGCCAGAAGCAAGATGCCGCGGAGCAGCCTGAGGCATCCAGAGATAAAAAATTTAAAATGAAGAGAGCATGTGAGAGGATATTTCTGGGAGACCCTCCGGTTGGGTACCAGGTTCCCGCTTTTATTTTATCTGTGGTAGATTTGAGGGAGCGATGTGTACATTCAACAATACCTTGTCCTTGAGGATTATAGGGTATACCTGTAGTATGGAGAATGTTGAGGCATTTGCAAAATCGAGCAAAAGAGGTGCTGGTATAGCCAGAGCCATTATCTGTTTTGAGCTGTTGGGGACATCCCAGGACGGAGAGGGCTGACAGCATGTGGGCCATAACATGTTTGGTAGCCTCTCCTGTCTGAAGGGTGGCAAAAATGAAACCACTGTATGTATCAACAATTACATGTATATATTTCAAGTTTCCAAATTCATTGAAATGTGTAACATCCATTGGCCATAGGGTGTTAGGGATTAAACCTTTTGGATTGACTCCTAGATGTTGAACAGGTAGCTGAGTAGCACAAGATGGGCAATTTTTTACAATTTGTCGAGCTTCTTCCCGAGTGATTTTTGTGGAGGAGGCGAAGGGTTTGGGCATTGAGGTGGTGTAACGGATGAGTCCGTTGGGCCTTGGATACCTTAGAGTCTTCTGTTGGCTCAGAATGGGTCATGAAGACCTGTGCCTGTGTGGCAATATCAGCCAAATGATTTCCCTGAGCAAGGGGACCCGGGAGGCCAAAATGAGCTCTTAAATGACCAATGAAAAACTTATGATTGTGAAGTTGAATCATGTTTTGTAATTGTTTGAATAGGTTTGCAGCTGGGGAGACATGACTTATGGAGGCAACAGTTTTTAATAATGGAACAGACTGAGCGAGGTAGGCACTATCAGTAAACAAATTGAAGGGTTGGTCGGGGTAAGCAGTAAAAACTGTAAGGATAGCCTGTAGTTCTGCCAGCTGCGCAGATGATGTATCTGTCTGTAGGGTAAAAACACTGTTTTGTGCTACATAAGCAGCTCTGCCAGAGGAGGAACCATCAGTGAATAACACTGGGGCATCGGGAAGAGGTTGTGGAGCTGTAATCTTAGGGAATACGAACGAGTGACAGTTAGCAAAATCAATCAATTTATTTGGAGGGTAATGATTATCAGTGGTCCCTGAGAAGGAGGCTAAAGCAATAGGCCATGCCTCGGTGGTCTGGAGCTGCCAGCCACCTGATCTTTGGTGAAGGGTTGAATGATGACATCCGGTTCTTTTCCAAAATAACATTTTCCTTGCTTTCTGTCTCGAATTATCAGGTAAGAGACCGCTTGGTAGTAAGGCAATAGTACTCTCTTTGGGGAGACTGGCAGATGAAGCCACATAAGGGGAGCTTGCTGCCAAAAAACTGCTGTGGGAGAGAGTTTTGTGTTAAAAACGAGAAATTGTAGTGGCTTGTTATAATCTATGAAGGAGACAGTTTGTTGGGCGATAGCCTCTTCCACTGTGTGGAGTGTTTTTCTAGCATCGGGTGTCAGCTCTCCGGGGGAAGTTGGGTCAACATCTCTTCGGAGGATCTCATAGAGGGGTTGTAGATCATATTTGGTTAATTTTAAATAGGGTAAGAGCCAATTAATATCACCCAGAAGCTTTTGAAAATCATTAAGTGTCTTAAGGTTGTCAAGTCTTAGTTGGGGCTTTGGTGAATATATTTGAGTGCCCTGTAGCTGGAAACCCAAATATATGTATGGGTCTGTAAGCTGGACTTTATCTGGTGCTATTTGGAGTCCAGCCTCTTGTAAGGTGGCTTGTAGTGCCTGATAACATTGTAAGGTCTAGTCTTTATTTTTTCCTGCCAAAAGGATATCATCCATATAATGAAGGATGTATATGTTTGGTCAATGACCTCTAATTGGCTGTATGGCAGTGGCCACAAAAGCCTGACATAAAGTAGAAGAGTTTGCCATCTCTTGAGGGAGGACATGCCATTGAAATCTCTGCATAGGAGCCTGAAAATTAGTGGATGGGAGACTAAAGGCAAAGCGTTTTTGATCTTGTGGATGTAGGGGAATTGAGAAGAAACAGTCTTTGAGATCTATGACAATTTTGAAAAATCCTAAAGGAATGGCACTGGGTGAAGGAAGTCCTGGCTGTAATGGTCCCATTATAACCATGGTTTTGTTTATTACTCTGAGTGGCCTGCATTTAGCTGGTCCTGCATCAGCTGTTGAGCAGCTGCAAGCTTTTCAGATGTAAGGGGTCACTGATCGACCCAAGCAGGGGCATCTGATAACCACGTAATTTTTTTGGCATGGGCCACAGGAACGTCAATGACCCCTATTGAAAATGGCCTAAGCCTGCTCTTGAAGGGTTTGGGGTTGGGGAAATAGGGACTTTAATACCTGAACTCTGTTTACCTAGGCCTTGATTAGGAAGGAATCCCTGAGTAAGCATTTGTTTGGTGACTATAGTATTAGGGCTGCCCATCATCATTCCCATTTGGGTAGCAAATCTCTATCCCACAAATTAAGGGGTAGCCCTTTCATAATATATGGCTGTAGTGCCCTTGATTGTTTTCTTTATCTTTCCAGGTAAGTAGATTGGCACTGCACTGTGGATTTTTAGATTGTCCAATCTCTTGCAGATGAGTCATAGTGGCCTCTAGGGGCCATGTGGGAGGCCAGTCCTCTTTTCTAATGACAGTCACATCAGCACCTGTATCTATGAGCCCTGAGAAACTTTTCCCATTGAGCAACAAAGCCATAAGGGGTTTATCTTTGGAAATAAATTGAGCCTAATATATATCTGAAGACCCAAGAGAAGAATTTCCCCTATACGAAGCCACAGCTGCGTTAGAAGTTTGAACCAAAGGCAATAGCACCAATTGAGCAATACGTTGTCCTTGACTAATGGAAACCAGGCCAGAGACAGAGGATGCCATAACAGTAATTTAACCAGTATAGTCATTATCTATTATTCCTGGGACAACTTGTAATCCTTTCAATATTGTGCTGCCACGTCCAAGGATAACCCACATGTGTCCTTGGGAAGGGGGCCAAAAACCCCAGTAGGGATGGCTTGTATCCCCATGTCAGGAGCTAATACTGTGTTGGAGGTGGAACAGAGGTCCAGTCCTGCACTTCCTGGTGTGGCACGGAGGAGGTCTGAAACGGATTGTTTTGTTGCTGTGGGACAAACCCTATAGCCCTGGGGGTCTGTCTTAAGTTGGGGGTCTGGGGCTGACCCCGAATCCTGTTTCCCTGCTGGGGGAGGGAATTGCCATCTGCATCTGTCTTTGACCTGCATTCATTAGCCCAATGATACCCCTTTCTGCATCTTGGGCATAAGTTTGTGGCTTTTGGTTTTGGGTTATTGTTTTGGGACTTTTGGGCCGTAGGGCAGTCTCTGGCAAAATGGCCTGTCTGATCACATTTAAAACATTTGCCATTATTTGTTTTTCCTCCTTGCTTATATGCAAGGAGGGTCTCTTTTACAGCTGCAGCCGTACTTGCAGCTGTGACCTGAGCTTGATGAAGGGCAGGGCCTATATCAGCGCACAAGCGAATATAACCTGAGAGATCTTCTCCTTTTCTATATGGTTTGATTGCGGCCTGGCAGGCAGAATTTGCATTTTTATATGCCAATTGTTTAACTAGGTCAGGGTTGTCCTCAGAGGTGCCAAAAAGACACTCTGTTGCCTGTAGGAGGCGATCAATGAAATCACAGAAAGGCTCCTCAGGTTTTTGTTTAATTTTAGTAAGAGAAGAAGCAATTCCACCAGAAGGGAGTTTTTTCCATGCTTTAGTTGCCGCCAAGGTGATCTGAGCAAAAAGGCCTGCCTCATATTGCATTTGGGCTTGTTGCATGCATATCTGCCTGTTCCTGTTAGCATGGGAAGAGTATAATGATTTTTCCTGTTAGCATTATCTTTAGCCAAAAGTTCATATTGGTCTTGGAATTCTGCTTTTCAGAGCAGATAATTGCCCCCTGAGAGAGTAGCTCTAGTTAGATCTATCCAGTCATTAGGTGTAATCCAACCTTGGCTTAAGGAGTCTAAAACTGCAAGGGTGAAGGCTGCCATGGGGCCATATTGGGATACTGCTGTTTTTAATTCTTTCAGGGCAGTTACAGGGAACGGTGTGTGGGCCCTGTTAGCCTGTGGCTCTGGAGGGTCTGTTTCTGTATCGTATCATGTAGGTCAGAGTCATTTTCTTCCTCGCTATCATCAATTTTTATTTCCCACCCTCTGTAGACGTGGTGGCTGTCTATCTCTCCTAGTTTTCGTAGTAGCCTGTGTTTTGTCCCTTCTGCTTTCCTGACTTGGAGACCAATCCTCACGTCTAGTTCATCTCTTTTGTCTCCCTCTTTCCTTAACTGTTTTGTTCCCGCCATTTTGTGGACCAGTGCCATCTTGGGTGGGTTGAATTGTCTCCCTGCCATCTCATGGGCTGATATCCACTGTGGCGATCTGGGCAATTTCTGTTACTGGAAACATTAAATGAGGCGCCATTTTTAAAGCGTCTGTTTTTGGTGAGTGAGTTGTTTTTGTTACTGGGAACATCATTGTTGGTGTGTCTGAGAAGGGATGAAAGCCTACATCTAACGACTGGAGTTGTAAAAATGAGTCTCTGTTTCTCCTGTTTCAATTGGAGCCGCTGTTGTAAATAATGAATTTCTGTTTCTAAAGCAAGGAGATCAGGAGGTGGACCAGGCGGCTTTTGGAAGCCAGGCTGGGTGTTATCTGGTTTTTTTGTCAGTATTTTAGTCATTAATTTGGGATCGATGGATAATGCAGGGGCTGCAAAAGGGGGTTTCTCACCCTGATATTGCACAGCCTCTTCCACCAATTGCAACCAATCAACCCCTTGGAGCTTAGAAAGGTCAGAGTACATAGGCCTACATAACAGAGCGGGGTGTGGTGGTGCCAAGCTCTAAGGAGCGCTGGAAGCCACTTTGAATAGCGGTGCCATTTTGAGTATTCCCATGTACTCTAGAAAGCGGAAGTGACGGCAAGTCGCCATTTTGGGAGTCTCCAAAGGGGGAGAAGCTTCCATCTTGAGGGGGCTCTGGAATATCAAGAACCACAGAACTGGGAGAGCTGGGTGCCTTGGATATCCGTGTGGGGTACAACTTCGGGAGGCAGATAATGCAGCCTCACCCTGAGCAAGCGTCTCTGCAATCTGGGGATCTGCATGACGTTGCATCAGCAGCTCAGAAATTAAAGTCCAATATGCAAAAGAAGTTACCAGAACCTTTTCCAGACCAAAAACTCTATAATAGTCTTTGAGAGCATCTCCTACTCTTTGCCATCTTTTTGAGTCAATGGTGCCTTCTAGTGGGAACCATGGGCACACAGAATGCACAAACTGAAAGTACTGTAATAAATCTTTTGTTTTAACCTTAATCCCTCTGACCTTGAGTGCCTCCCTGAGACCATTCACAAACAATTCGTGCTCACTAAGTGCTTGCCCCATGCCAGTAGAAAGATAAGATCCATTCACCTACCGTGATTCAGGCGAGACGTAAGGTGGCCGTCTGCATGGATCACAGGGACGAAGCCCTTGAATCAGTCACGCTGCGCAGCGATTTACTCCTATGAATGGTCCTGCATTGATACCGCTCATGCCAGGCACGACATTGGGCGCCACTTGATCCAGCCCGCGGATCAATCCATGGGTCTTGCCTGGAGAGAGAACGGGGATGGGGGGCAGGGCAAGAGGAAAGAGAAATGGAGACAAGATGAAAAGTTCCAATCAAGTCTCGTTTATTCGGGAAGTGTACATGGCTTATATAAAGTCCAAGGGAATGTGGCTTTATAGGATAGGTCAGTTTAGATCTCCTCATATGACGTGGACTTATCAGATTAGCAGGAAACCATGCATAGGCAACTAGTGGAAGCGGAAGTATGTAAGCAGGAGAGGATTATGGGTAATGTAGGCAGACGTGAAGATCTTGAGAAATGTAGGCGGATGCGGCAGAGGCCCACAGGAGGGCGAGATAAGGTGGCAGCAGTGAGATATGCCGCTCCCTACAATTATCCAAAAGAAATAGCACAGTAAATTTTTGGTTTGCAGGTGCTGTGCAGAGGTTTCCTATGGCTCTGACAACTGATTGCTATCGGCTTCATAATGTATTGGATGTATTCATAGTTCCAGCTGCAGAGGTCTCCCAGGTTGTGAAACAGAGACCACTTATGGTAGCAGACTCCTGTTTCATGTTCAGACCTCTGCTGGTACCAAAGATTTGTATGATTCACATTTCCCTAAAATCAATCAGTTTGATAGAAGTTTCTTGTGTATTAGATAAGAGTGATTGACTAAAAGGGATATTTTATATCAAAATGAAAATTCAGTTTATTGTAAGAATGTCTTGACTGTCATGATACAATAATATGTATGGTTTTGATTCCTGATTTACTATTTAAAATATGTAATTGTTAACACTATAGGTATTCAAATGTTAAAGTATCCATGGATAGTAGAAAATAGGGTTCCTTTAATGTTAAAGTATCCATGGATAGTAGAAAATAGGTTTCCTTTAATGTTCTGAGATGCTTCATGTTTAGATAAGACAGTAATGTTAAGCTTACTGCCTCTAATTTTCTGTATTGTTATCAATCTTTTCTTCTGGATGTTCAACAGCTAAGGTTTAGAAACCAAAGCAGCAGAGAGATGGGTGGGCTAAAAGGATAGCCAATATTTTGGCCCCAGTTCTTCAAGGTCAGTAGGGACCCAGGACATAAAAGAACCTTTGTTTGCATCATCCTAAGATACTCAATGAGTCCCTGGTCTTCTGATCAAGAAGATTATGAGACCACAGAGGAAAGTGATCTTCGATGTGTGGTGTGCCTAAGGAGAATCACCAGGAAGAAAAATCTCGCATGATTTCACAGAAAGCAATTTGATCAAGCAGCGACCATGATTCATCCTGATGGCTGACATCCGATGGAAAAGCCAGGAGGTGCATGGTTCTAAGATAGCTCCTGAGGAGCCCTCAGTGATCTGATAGGAAGTAAGAACCTGATTATATTTAATGCAAGTTTCACCTTAGCTTGGTCTTGGACCTCCTGCAGAAAAGTACAGCCTCTGGAAGTGTAATGCCGCGTAAAATGCTGGCTATTGGGGAAGCTGGGATCCCTGACATCCTCTGACAATTGCTGGCCTCACTGGTAACTGACTACTATTATGAACTGCGGAGTTAAATTGTGGGAGCTCTCGCAAGATGGCTTCTCCAGCTTCATCTGGCCACCTGTCCCATGTAGCAACAAGACAAAAAAGAGGGGTAAGTTTGAGCTGTTGAAACTGAATATGTGTGCAGGGCTGTGGCATGGCCCAGCCATGGCTGAACTGAAAATGAGGAGACACTTCAGGGGCAAGACAGGCACAGCTGAGGCCACCTGGTGCCTTTCTGGGTAGTTTTCCTTAGTTAGCATCATCTGATGCTCTGAGGGTCCAAGATCCTGTTCAGGCTTCCGCCATTGTCCACTCAGCTCCTTGCCTGTTCTGAGGGTTTCACTCCTCCGGAGCCCTAAAGACCATGCTGAGTGTCTCACTCCTCTAAGCGCAGACCCCAACACACTGGAAGCTGCTGTGGACTGAGTCCCTTGGTGGACAACTGGAGATGTGTCCCAGTACTGGGAGAAGGACAGAAAAAGGAAAACCTTCCACGGATCAGGGCAGAAACAAAGATGAAAAACTTTGGAGAGCCATAAATTAGCAAATCACGAGGGAGTATAAGAGAGACAAGGAAGCAGATTTAAAGAAAGGCGAGCTACTCCCAGGGAACAGCAAAATCAGTGACAACAGCAAACAGCACTTCCTCCAGTGTCATCCTTCGAGTACCCGACCCATAAGATACTTTCTTAGTGCATGAGATGAGTGTACACACACACACACACACAGAGCTATCATGGGAAAATCAGATTGGGAATGCTGCACATCATAGCCGTCCTGCACGCTGGCAGCACCACCTTGTCTCTGGTGTGCACTGCAGCAGACTGGCCTCATCTTAACCTGGACCACCTGGAGCTAACCTGCCACAGACCAGCTACCCACCCTGCGGAGCTGAGGCAGCTCTGGGCTCTGGGCTTGGCACTCTCCAACAACACTGTTCCCACCAAGAAAATAGGAGGCACACAACTTCGAAGGCCTCTGTAGGTCAAAGAGGTGACATGAGTTGCTCTTTTTTTTTTTGCTCAGGACAAAGAATCTTTTGCTGAAAAGCACCTTTGTGCAGAGGCTGTAAACTGGCAGCTTTTGGGACAATTGCTGTTCCCAGGTTGCCGTGGTCTGTCCCCCACATTACTGCCATAGCTGCCATGTGCTGAAAGCTTGGTCCCCAGCCTCTGGCACCACGGGAAGGTGCTGAGCGTTTAGCAGGTGGGGCCTCATAGCAGGAAGCACAGTCCCTGGGGGCTTGGCCTGAACGAGATACAGGGACCCTCGTCTCTTCTCTCTCCTCACTTTCCGGGCACCACCAAGGGAGTGGGCTGAACCCTCCCTGCCATGATGTTCTGCCCCTCCACCAGCTGAAAAACATCTGATGATCATAACAACCTCTAAAACCGTGAGCCAAACAGCCCTTCCCTTTTTCAGGTCAATTGCCTCAGGTGTACTGTCACATGGAAATCCGGCTGGCTCAGGTGAGTTTCTTGGTGCCTTTGAGTAAGAATATCTCTGGGGTGGCACCTACATGAAGACAAAGTTAGCAGAGCAAGAGATACGTTGGGATTAACACATGGAAGGGAAGTGCAGGGAGGGCAGGGGAACCTGCAGACCATGCTTCTCTCTGGCTGTGCAAGGAGCGGAGGGAGAGGGACTGCGGGGAGAGCTAGGCTATTTCCTGCTGTGTGAGTCTTGGCTGGCCCCATGAGGAGCTCTCGGCGCACTGCCTATTCAGGAGTCCCTTGCAGACCACAAATGCCAATCCCCCAGGCCAGACCAGGTGCTTCCCTTGGAATAATGGGCAGCAGCTCACTTAGCCCAGATCTCAAACACAGGAGCCAGCCTTGGCGGACATTTAAATTCCAAGTTGTAGCACTGAGGTATGTGCCTAAAGTTACGCTATTTTGATTTTTTATTTTAAGTGTATACAAATAAAGATTGCATATACTCAAGGTATGCAATTAATTTGATACATGTGTATGCTGTGTAATGATTACACAGAGTCTCACAGCTGTCACCACCCCTGCATTAGATCAGGAGCCTGCTTACCTTGTACCTGAAAACTGTACCCTTTGGCCAACATCTCTGGTTCCCTCAGCACACCCTCCTGGAACCACTGTTTTACCTGCTGCTTCTGAGCTCCAAGTTTTTAGAGTCCACACAAAAGTGAGAATGGGCAGTGTTTCTCTCTGTGTCTGGTGGATCTGATGCAGCATGGTGTCCCTCAGGTCTCTCCATGCTGTGTGAGTGATGGAATTTCCTGCTGTTTCACAGGAGAATAATATCCCTTCATTCACACTCTTTCTTTACCCTTTATCTCTCAGTGGACACTTACCCTGTCAGTGAACACAGGGTACAGTTTCTATTTCCCTAGGGTAGATGACCGGAAGGGGACTTCCTGGATCTTGGGTCACTTTTTGAGGAACCTTTTTGAGGAACCTCCGTGTAATTTTCCATGGCAATCACATCATTCAGCATCCCCACAATGGCATGCAGAGGCTTCCCGTTTGCACATCGTAGCCGACACCTGTTATCATCCATCTTCCTACAGCAAGCTGGCTGGCTCCACAGGTGGGGGCTGATGTCTCTGCGGTTTCTAACAGTGTTTTCCAGGGATTAGTGACGCTGAACACCTCTCATGTGTCTGTCAGCCATTTGTATGTCTCCTCTGGGAAATAAGTCTATTCCCGTATTTTTCCTTTTGTAATTTCAGTGTGTGTGTGGATACCAAGGCATGTAAACAAGCTATACATTTGGAACAACAGCCTCTGGCCAGATATATGGTTTTTCCATCCTGTTTCCTTTGCTGTGCAAAAGACTTTTTGCTTTTGTTGCCTGCGTTTTGGGGGTCATAGCCCAAACTGTCAGCAAACCACAAAAGGGGGAGAGCAAGGCCTCACCTACCAATACCAGTCATTGCTCCAAATGTCACCAAAGTGAATTTTTAACCAAGCTCACAGAGGGACCTCGGGTGGCCATGATACCTGGCCCCACACTGTGCTGCCCACAGAGGCTCCCTTACCTCTAGCACACACATGCACCGAGACAAGGTTGGAAAGATGCAAGTGGAAACCGAAAGCAAGCAAGGGTGGGTTTAGCTTGAATGGAAACTGTCCTTGAAGACTGCCGTGTTCCAAAGTGGGGTGTTTGGAGGATGAGTAGACAGTGAGGGTGCTGGACTCGCCAGTGGGTAGCTGAGTGGCCCGCCTGGAGGAAGCAGATACCTCCCCTTCGCAGCTCTGCTCCTTCTGCTGCCTTTCTGACTCTCTGCCTCCTGGCTGCCATGAAGTGAGCAGCTTTCCTCTTGCCTGCCATCTTGGCCTGGGGGACAGCTGACTGTGGACTGCAGCTGCTGAAACTGTGAGGCCAAATCAGCCCTCACTGCTTCCCAGTGTGCATGTTAGGGATTTTCCCCAACAAGAGACCGGTACGGAATACACACGGTCATGCTTGTGTCAGAAAGACTAGATTGCCTTCAAAATCTGTCACAGGAGACAAAGAAGGTCGCTATATGATGGCAAAGGAGTCAGATCCTCAGGCTGTGTAAACTGGAGCGCTAAACCCATACAGCAAGTGAATGTTAA